CCTAATTCTATAAGATACAAATTTCTTCGTATCCTATTTCCCTCCACAATTCCACTAATTTTGTTCGAGAACTCCTTGGTCTAAGTGGAAACGGGACGAAACTCTTTTCAATTTCCATGATTTCTCCTCCTTCGTCAAAAGATTCGTCATTTCCGAACTGGTATATTAACCACTCGGTTTTAGTGTATGGATCTTTTGCGATGTTTGACCATTCTTTGCAGGTTAATGACAAGTTTAATGGTCTAAAAATATTGACTTTAATAGATTTTTCGAGGTGTAAAACGTTGGACTTTTTTGTATATATGATGTTTGTAAGGGTAAGGTTAGTCATTTTTGTGCTTTTGCTTTAAAATGTAAATAACTGTTTCAAGTCAGTTATGAAAAAAAGTTGATTCGAATTTCGACCTATAAATAATAATAAAAAAAAAGGGTACCTTAATGTTATACTGATTACGCGTTGAGTAATTATTACTAAAAAAAAAAAAAAAAAAGATATTTATTTGTTTCACATCTTTATTATTTCCTTTAACTTTTTTTTTTTTTAATGTATACTTTATCACTTTTTCAATTTTTTTTTTCTATTTGCATTTGTATTATTACATATGATACATTTTTCTTTGTCAAAAAAAAAAAAAAAAAAAACATTAGGGACATTCTGCATATTTTCGTTTTAATAAAATCTAAATTAAAAAAAAAACTTTTTGTTGCATGTTTTACATATTCCTTTCATTCCATTCCTTTTTTTGGTTATTGTATATAACACGAAAAAATTAGTCAAAAAAAGAAAAGCTTTTCTAAATGTATACATCATTTGCTTTTGGTTGCAAACATAATCCGAGGTGGAACTTCGAGTCGAATAATATAAATCATAACGAATTAATCTTACATAATAAATTAACAGCTTTACCCGTTTATTGAGAGGGTAACCTTAAAAAGTAATTTAATAAAAATATATTTATTCATTTATCGTTATCGTTATTATTTAATAAAACTATTTTTATTGAAGTCGTTCTACCAAAATTATTACAATTTTACACTTCCATATTTAGTTGGCATTTTGATCATCACGATCGACATGCTTTTTCATTGTTAGTTTTTTTTTCGTACGAGAAAGGAAATGACTGAAAGATCACAAATTTGGTTTTATTATTATTTTAACTATCATTCAAATTTTTTACAATTGTTCAAGATAAGAGATATGCATGTACCACAATAAATGATTTGATTTTTATGAAAGCTAATATAATGTAACCTTTTAAGTTACCTAAAAAAAAAGGTGATCCAACACACCGTACCGTAAAAAGTAACATTTCCGAGATTTAACCACAACTAGCAATTGAAAAATGTTCCGTATGAAAAGTTTCTCGGTCTAGCCAATCAAAATTTTTCACACGGAAACGTGTGAAATCACAAAGCGCAGCATAATGATGAAAGTAATCAATAACGAGATATCCGGACAAGAGTACTAAGAGTTGTGTTACAAAATAACATTTGGTAGTGAAACCACCACCGGTAGCAGGACTTCATCTCACAAATTTAAAAGGAATCCCCTTTCGTTTAATCTATTTTTCAGAAAAATCAAATTTTTTCTTCCTCGCTCGAAATCAAAATCAAAATTTTTAAACATTTTAAATAAATCAATTCACCATTAAACTTTAACCTGCATTATTTCACGAAATAAATTTAGGTCCCATTTTTATTAATAACATATACGAAACCCTTCGATAAACACATCTCTGACAAAATCCTTATACTATCTAATTAGTATAAGATATTTAAAATGTCAAACTTTATCCAAAAGAAAAGTCTTCATTTCAAGACAAAGATTATGGATTGTATGATCGAACAAAGAATCAAACATAACATAATACAAACCGACTCGAACAAAGTTCGCTTGGATCAAGCGAACGTATTTAGCATCATCTTACAAGAAGGAGCTGCTCGATTTTCCTCTTGTAATCAACTATGCTTCTCACGAACAAATCATTAAGCAAATTGCTGAGCGAAAATTTAATGTTGAAGACATAAAAGAAGGAAATCGCTCATCCTTTCACCAAAAGTCTATCAATTTATGCTTCATTGATATACTTTCATTAAAAATTTATTTCGATGACCCACTTCATACATCACTTCCACTGGTATCGAAATTCACATTAAATTCATTTTATACATTCTTTTGACCTTTTATATAAACAAAGGGTTGAATATAAATTAGAACATTTAAATTAATTATTTACTGCGTCACATATATATGTGAGCATTTATCCTTATTATCTTTATTATATTTTACATAATTATTATTTATCATAAGAAATCCCTATATTTTATTTTTGGAATCTTACCGAAACTTGGTTGATTTGTATAATTAGCATCAATAAAGAAATCTATCGTTGTATTCAGTTCTTTTCATTTATGTATTTATAAACAATTTTATAATGTAAAAAGAAGGTTTTATTGAATAATTGACGAGTAAAAATGAAGTAATTGTGACAAGTATTTATTTTATAATATCAAATTAATCAGTGTTGCCTCAACGTCGGCGATCTACACTTTCGTCAAAATATTAAAGTAAATGCCAATCATAAGTTAATTATAATAAAATATTAAGAAAATCGGAAATTAAAAAATAAACGAAGTTAAAAGTACGAAAGAGAAAATATCGCGAAGAAAGGATTTCGAGGTTGATCTTCAAAAGACTAACTGCAAATATCGAAAGCGATTTTCCTGCGGAATTATGAGTTTTCAGGCGAAATTATATACTATTTATATTATAATTTATATCTTTGTGTATAGTTTGACTTGTATTATAAATCCTGAAAAAAAAAAATAGAGAATTTTATTATTAAAATATTTATTAAATCTAAGACTATAAATCCCATTTTATTTCAATCCTAAAATTTCTGAGTATCATGAAAAATATTGTTGTGACTTTTTTTTCGTATATGGGGCGGTCAATAGAAAAGGGGGAAATCTACAAATTTTGAGTAATTTTAGTTATTAAGTTAGTTTTGTTCACATGACCA